GCTCTTTGCAGTTGGCAATACCAGCCCTGGATGAACCCTGACTTCATGCCTTCTCGGCATCTGTATTGTGAGATCTAAACATTACCGGAGAAAACAAACTAAACCAATGAACAGGCCTAATGTTATATTTATTATTGCAAACTGTAAACGGCAATTTTATTATTGTTGCCATCCTAAATGTAGCTAAGTTACTTTAAAGAAGCAACATGTAAAACTGACAGCCAACTTTAAGACAACACAATGGGAGACAAAACACTAAATGGTATATCCATGGAATACTGAAAAAAAAACTACCATGTTAGAATTCTATAGACAGCAAAGCAGATATTTTTCAAGAATGAAAGTAAAATAAAAACATCTAGAGACTAACAAAAACTGAGATACACATCACCAGCAGGCCCATATTAAATAAAATACTTTAAGAACATATTTTAGCAGAATGAAAATATTCCTACACAGAAGACCAAAGAATTAGGAAGGAAAAAAGAGCAACAAAAATGTCAAGTATATGGAAGTCCCCCTCTTCAAAAAATATTTACTTTAAAAAATATTAATGTCTTGTCAGGTTTAAAATACATAATTAAAATACACAACTGTAACACCTAAATAAATAGGGAGATGAATGGACTTAAAGGATGCTAGAGCCCTGGCCAGGTGGCTCAGTTGGTTGGAGCATCATCCAGTATACCAAAAGAGGTTGCACGTTAGATTCCTGATCAAGGCACATACCTAGCTTAGGAAGAACTCAGCAAGAAGAGCATTTGATGACAACTATAAAATCATATTGAATGGTAAATTTAAAAATCTGAGCAGCCCTAGCTGGTTTGGCTCAGTGGATAGAGCATCGGCCTGTGGACTGAAGGGTCCCAGGTTTGATTCCGGTCAAGGGCACATGTCCGGGTTGCAGGCTTGATCCCCAGTAGGGGGCATGCAGGAGGCAGCTGATCAATGATTCTCTCTCATTGTTTCTACCTCTCTCTCCCTCTCCCTTCCTCTCTGAAATCAATGAAAATATATTTAGAAAAATAAATAAATAAAATAAAAATCTGAGCAAATGAAAAGACATCCATCTTCTTAGATGGAATAATTGAATATTAAGCTTCTTAATATCATAACAATGTAGAATTAAAAAGCAAGTTAAGCCCTAACCGGTTTGGCTCAGTGGATAAAGCGTCAGCCTGCAGACTGAAGGGTCCCAGGTTCGATTCCAGTCAAGGGCATGTACCTTGATTGTGGGCACATCCCCAGTAGGGAGTGTGCTGGAGGCAGCTGATCGATGTTTCTCTCTCATCGATGTTTCTAACTCTCTATCCCTCTCCCTTCCTCTCTGTAAAAAAACAATAAAATATATATTTTTTTTAAAAAAAGCAAGTTAAATTTGTGTTCCTAAAAGAGAAAAGGAACATTAGGTAAATGCTGAGGAAATATGAATGAATGATATATGGATTGTAGTTAATACTAATGCATCAATATGGATTCATTAACTGTAACATACATCATACTAATGTAAAATGTTAATAGGGGAAACAGGGTAGAGAATATATGGAAACTGTTCTATCTTCACAATTTTTCTGTAAATATAAACTTCTAAAAATAAAGTTTATTTTAACAAGCATGTTTATAAGACAATCAGGTAAGTTTTCAATAACACAAATGTAATTCCAATTAAATGGATAAAAGTATCTTAAAGTTTAGAGTGAAAATACCCAGTAAAACAAATAAATGAATGAAAAAGAAAGAAGATATACTAGAAAGCCACTTTTATTAAATCAATATGGAACATTACTCTAGGCATATAATCAGTAGAACAGAGAATCCAGAAATAAAACCCAGTTGATATGAGATTTTAATATATATGACAAAAACGTATTTCAATTCAATGGGAAAGAGTGATTATTTAATAAACAGTGCTGGCACAACTGGCTATCCATCTGGTAGAATATAGTCAGTCCCCAATCTCATAAAATAAAAACAAATTCCAGAAGGAGTAAATAAGCAATGTAATAAATAAAGCATCAAAAAGTTAGACGGAAACCTAGGAAACAACTTTTACAGTCTGTTTATTAACCAGAAAGAAAAGAGAGCCATATTTGAGTTTATAAAAGTTAAAAATGCAAATAATAGTAAAAAGTCAAATATTACTCTATCCCCAATCAGATAAAAGAAAAATTACTGACAAGATAAAGAGAAAAATAATGTAATTTGTTTAGAACTGTTTTGAAAGCAATCTGACAAATATTTTTAGGTTAACAGTACACAGACACTTCAACCAACAAATCACACTCCTGGGAATCTATCCCATAAAAATAAAGTCACCAATAAAATGTTTATTATAGTATTGCTCTTATGGCCAAAACAAAAACAAAAAAACACCAAAAAACACGAGGAAACAAAATGAGTTCCCAACAATAAGGTAATAAATAATGGTACATTTATACTGTAGAATTATAAGCAGCTATTAAAAAGAATAAATTAGAGCAGTGATGGCGAACCTATGACACGCGTGTCAGAGGTGACACGCAAACTCATTTTTTTGGTTGATTTTTCTTTGTTAAATGGCATTTAAATATATAAAATAAATATCAAAAATATAAGTCTTTGTTTTACTATGGTTGCAAATATCAAAAAATTTCTATATGTGACACGGCACCAGAGTTAAGTTAGGGTTTTTCAAAATGCTGACACGCCGAGCTCAAAAGGTTCGTCATCACTGGATTAGAGCTATACCATTTGACTTGGAGAAATTTTTCTGGGTGTATTTTTTAATGATAAAAGTGAGATATAGAGAAGTGCATATACAATAATCCCATTTTTAAAAAACAAACATTGATCACAACCCAAAGGTATGCCCGCCCAATGTCTGTGTGTGAGTGTGTGTGCGGCGCGTGCGCATGAAAGGTGAACATGGCAACAAATACAGAAGGAAATGCACCAGGTCGCCAGCACAGATTGCTGGTAGTGTGAGGGGGGAGGGTCAGGGATGCGCAGGGGAAGAAAAAAATGAGCAGAATGTATAATACGATTGCACTGATGTTAATCAGAAACCTGCTACAACATGGATTAGGATATAACATAATTGGCATGAGTGTCCCTCCCCCACATAGTCCCCATCCTCAATCTCCCTCCTGGTCATTTGGCATTTCCTTGTGCAGTGAACTATTAGTCCTATACAATATTAAATCCTATATTAAGTCTTACAATCTTTTGTGCATGTTGTAACAATCCTACCCAAAAATATTGTTTTCCATTAACATTTAATAAAATTGAATTTTTGGACCCCACTTTTCAAGTTGGGGTGCAGTTTTACACACAAGCACAAGTAAGTACCTATAAATAAAGAAATAAGAAGTTGGTAGTTATACATTTACTGATGAATGTCCATATAACGACAAAACTAATTACAGAAAAATATGCATTAAGTATTCTATTTCAGTAAAAGCAACCAAACCTTAATTATAAATGTATGCCTAAATACTTTTTTTTATGCTTAATCCTCACCTGAGGATATTCTTCCCATTGATTTTTAGAGAGAATGGAAGGGAGGGAGGGTGTGGGAGAGAGAGAGAAAGAAATATCAATGTGAGAGAGACACATCGACTGGTTGCCTCCTGCACACGCCCTGATTGGGGCTGGGGATCAAACCTGCAACCCAGGTACATGCCCTTGACCAGGAATCAAACCCGAGACCCTTTGGCGCATGGGCTAACACTCTGACCACTGAGCTACACTGGCCAGGCTTAAATACTTTTAAATGAAAGTGATAGCTTCGGAAAGTTGGCACAGGTTACCCAAAGGGAAGGAAGCAGAGGGGAAGGGGCAGATTATCAGCTTTGCTTTTATACTTCTCTGTATCTTACCATTTCACCTATTACAATAAACAAAAAAGCATTGCTTTTTAAATCTGAAAATATTAAGCAGTGAAAACGAAGATAAATTGTAAACAACAAAAGAAAATAAATTGGGTTTTAATTAGCACCTCCCTCATAAGATCCTTGTAAAATTACATAAGATAATCTATGTAAAGTGTTTAGCATACTGCCTAACATATTGCAAATGCTCAATAAATGTTAGCTATTTATTTATTTATTTTTTACAAAGACTGCAGACAGCTGTAGAATTTACAAACCTAAAAAGATAAGGCCTTTGAAAATGACAGGGCACTTTTTCCTGTATTTCTGAATTTGGTCTTTGGTGGGCAAGGATTCATATTATGATAACCATAGAGCTCATTAAACATACTTTCACAGATAGTAAAAATAAAATTATAATTAGATTTTTTTTTAGAATTTTTATGAGTTTATTTCAGCCAAACTGATGACATACTGGGAGCAAGACCTCAAATGCTCCACAATTAGATTTTTTAAAATATATTTAAACAATAAAAAGGAGATGATAATCTTTTTGCCTTGAAGGCTACTTTAAGAACTTCAAGCCTGGCTGGTATGCTCAGTGGTTGAATGTTCACCTATGAACCAGGAGGTCACAGTTTGATTTCCAGTAGGGGCACATGCCTGGGTAGCAGCCTTGATCCCCAGTAGGGGGCATGCAGGAGGCAGCTAATCAGTGATTCTCTCTAATCATTGATGTTTCTATCTCTCTCTCCCTCTCTCTTTCTCTCTGAAATCAATAAAATATATTGGAGGGAAAGAACTTCAAGCATCTTAAGGCATATGCTTCTATCACAACCACTTCGGATGAGAGATACGTGGATCCTGGATATTTCCCACATGTCAGAGAAGAATTAAAACACAATTCATAGAGATTGGAGAGTGGTGCCATTGATCTTTTTGAGAGCCTGTCCACATGGGAAATCCATTCCTAACTGCAGAAATTCCATTCCCAATTCTGAGAATTTCTTTGTTGGTCTGCCTAAAAGCATGTCAGTTTAGTTATAATCTACAAACCTAATTTGGCACATCGATACTATATTCCTATTATCCAATGAAACATTAAAATAAGTTCATAAATGGCATGAGTGTGTTATTAGTCTTGCTACTTACATGGAGTTGACTTTCTCTTCAGGGCCTTGCACTTGACCTGTAACAGTGCCTTTGTTGGTATTCTTCACCCAGCCAACCACTCCTATTTTCTTAGCCTCACCTTCTGTGTACTGGTTTCAGGAGAAAACAAGAGGAAAAAAGTCCATCATCAAAAGTCAGAATTTATAACACTTGATTCTAACATTCAAAAAGCACTAAGCTGATAACTTCTTCCTAAAATTATACAACTGACCAACAGTAATAAATACCTCTATTTATAACAAACTTCACTTAAGTGGAATTTTTGTTAAATTCCACTGTCAGTAAAGACAAGCATGTTGTGAGAAAATAAACTGATCCTGGGAATTACTTCAAAACACAGTTTTTATGATGTGTTTGGGGATTAATAAAATTCAGTTGCATGCCCTTGCATCAGCTAACACAAAATTACATTGTTAATCTAAAATTCTAAATCACTGAGAAAAATATCCAGTTTTAAGCAATAGAAAGTACTGGGTTAAAATATTCTGCTGCTTTATGAATTATAACAAATGTTATAATTCTCTAGGTAAATTTATTTTTCTTATTATTCTTTTTTAAAAATATTTTTGTATTGATTTTAGAGAGGAAGGGAGAGGGAGAGAGATATAAATCATCAATGATGAGAGAGAATCATTGACCAGCTGCCTTCTGCCCTCCCTCTTCTGGGGATCGAGCTCGCAAATTGGGCATATGCCCTTGACCAGAATCAAACCCAGGACCCTTCAGTCCGAAGACTGATGCTCTACCCACTGAGCCAAACCAGCTAGGGCTTCTTATTATTCTTAATAGGTTGTGTGTGTTTTTAAGTCCTTTTCCTGGTTCCAAATTCACTTATGCTACTGGCAAATAACAACCTAGAAATATTTTTTTTTAATTTTGTTTAAATTTATTTTTAGAGAAAGAGAGGAAGGGAAAGAAACATCAATGTAAGAGCAAAACATCAGCCCTAACTGGTTTGGCTCAGTGGGTAGAGCGTCAGCCTGCGGACTGAAGGGTCCCGGGTTCGATTCCAGTCAAGGGCACGTGCCTGGGTTGCGGGCTTAATCCCCATTAGGGGACGTGCAGGAGGCAGCCAATCAATGACTCTCTCTCATCATTGATGTTTCTATCTCTCTCTCCCTCTCCCGTCCTCTCTGAAATCAATAAAGATACTTTAAAAAAAAAAAAAAGTTAAACATTTGAAAAAAAAAAAAAAAAACATCAATGGGCTGCCTCCTGCACTCCCTCTACTGGGGATTGAGTCCGAAACCTGGGCATGTGCCCTGACCAGGAATCTAATTGCAAACCTTTTGGTGCACTGGATGATGCCCAACCAAACCACACCAGCCAAGGCAAAACCTAGCAAAATTTTTATTTTGAGTCATTTTAACTACATCATACTAAAATTCTTGTGGACCCATTCTAACTAGAACTTCTTAAAGACATGTTCTATTTGGAAGCCAGGGTGACCACGATCTCTCTCTACGTTCCAAACAATATGAAGCAACCCAAACTGAGATGGTTATAGCTAGGGTTGATGCATGAGCTGGTTCTGAAAGTAAGTCAAGCTCTCATAGGTAATAACAAAAAAAGAGACAATCTGATCTGTAGAGGATACAACTATGTCAAAATGTGGAGGCGTATAGGTGGGACCTGTTAGAGTACTCAGAGGTTAGGAACAGAGACCTAATCTAGGGTCTGCCAGCTCAGATAAGTCGGTGAAAATACAAGTCACATTTAACTTTTAGGAAAGGAGTATAATAACAAAATCAATATTTTAAAGGCAACAAGTAGTTTTAACTTCTAGAAACCTGGGGACCACTACCTTACGCAACATGAGCATGTTTCGTTATGCAATTTGAGACACATGCCCTTGGGTAGAGGGTTTCTTCTATCCAGATCCCATATTTGTATTAATATACCTAATCAAAAGGTTTAACTTAACCACCTCAAGAGAGGTATTTTGAAATTCACAGAAAATATTAGCTAAAGGCTAAGAACGCTGTAATGTTTTTAATAGACTACTTTGTAAAGACAGCTCTCATAAAAACCTCAACCAGTAATTTGTATGTGAAGAAATAAAAAATACATTTTTATTTGCTGTCAAGAATGGGAAATAAGCAGTAGACCAGCACTAAGTAGAAAGCTGCTCTATATTTGTGATTAGAAATAACTGTGGAGAAAAAAATGTACCACCCCCCCCCCACCAAAAGCAGATTATATTGACTTACCATTCTGAAGCAGACACCTGTATAAAAGAAAGATAAAAATAAAGTCAGCTTGTCTACCTTTAAAAAAAATCATATATTTCCTAACTGAATTTTCACCTATTTTATTCAATAGTAAGTAAATGAAATGAACAAAATTTTTAATGTCTGAATATATTCAAAATGTGTTGTAAAAATTTATTTTCTTTTAAAATAAAAAGATAAAGGGAAGATCACTTTTGGGAAAAATTAGTAATCTGAATATATCATTCAAAGTATAATAAAATGCCAAACAGTATATTTAGTCTATTTTAAAATGCTAACTAAAATCAAATGCTTATTACAAGGTCAGTTGAGTATATTTGACATAACATTTACCTATCCTCAGCTTTTAGAATTTCTTCTTTAAAGACAAGGACTAAATCCAAGTTGAAATGTAATAAAATGTTTCTGTTTTAATGTTAATTCCACCTTCTGGAAAAGGCAAACTACAGGGTCAGGAAACATCAGTTGCAAAGGGTTGGGAGGGGAGAGATGAGCACTGCAAAGGGCACCCGGGAACTCTGGGGGATGATGACAGCGCTCTGTATATCTCCACTGCGGTGGTTACATGACTGTCTGCATGTTTCAAACCCCATGAAACTGTTCACTAAAAAGGGTGAATTTTAGCCCAGCTGGTGTGGCTCAGTGGTTGAGCGCTGCCCTATGAACCAGGAGATCATGGTTCGATTTCCGGTCAGGACACATGCCTGGATTGAGTTCTCGATCCCCAGTGTGTGGCATACAGAAGGCAGCTGATCTATGATTCTCATCATTGATGTTTCTAGCTCTCTCTCTCCCTCTCCCTTCCTCTCTGAAATCAATAAAATTATTTTTAAAAGAGGTGAATGTTACTGAATTTAAATTATATCTCATTTGAAAAAAAAATTAGAAGAAAAAACTCGGGAAATCACGGAAAGAATCAGGCAAAAGATATTGCTTCAATATACAACAATTGAGCCTGGTTAAGAAAATACAGAAGGATTCAGTGGGTTAGGTAATTTTATGTAATTCTGTAAGGGGATTTATAATAAGAAATATCATTTGTTTCCTGATGACAGTGTATTGTAGCACCAAAAGAATATAAAGAAAAAGAGTAGTAAAGCAATAAAGACAAGATAACCTCACAAGTGGAATTTTTGTAGGGCTATAAAAATATTTTAAATGCTACATATAAAAGGTGGAGGAATGATGAGTGAAAGTATTGATCTGAAAGGGAATCTGTTATATAGTTGGAGGGAAAGACATTAGCTAGCAGATATAAAAGAAAGTGCCAGAAAACTCAAGAAAATTTTCACACTATGTAGAAGAGAGAGAGACAAAACAGGAGAGAAAACGGCACAACTGTGGGCCCGTGTGCAGTGGTTTACCCTAAGAGCGAGAAGACCCTGGAAGGCCCAAGTGGAGTTGAAGGTTTGGTCACTGCTGCACTGTGCATATTCCCCTCTGAGCTCCTCAACAGTGAAGAGCACTGCCTGCTGTTAGTTTAGCATCATGAAAAATAAGCGCAATGCAACTGAAGTAAACAGACATTGGAAGCATCTGGTCCAGCTTTTTCCTGCTCCAAGAGTGGTCCATGACCCAGCAGCACCTGAGAGTATTTTGCTTTCCTTTTTGTGTGTGTGTGTGAGACTTTTCAAAAAATTGAGATATAATTCATATAATATTAAATACCCCCTTTTAAAGTGTTCAAAGTATACTAAATATACAGTGATATTTAGTAGATTCACAGTTTTGCAACCATCACCAGTAGCTAACTGCAGAACATTCCCATCACCCCAAAAGGAAGCCCCCTCACATTTCCCTTTAGCATTCATTCCCCATTCCCCACTTCCCCCAGCCCTCGGGGAAGTCAGGGCCAAGGCCCCTGTGATGTCCTTGGCCTTTCCCTCTAGGTTTTGGGAGGGCTGCTGGAGCGCAAATCATAGTCACCCCACAGTCAGGAGCAGGGAGAGTATAAAGGGAAAACCTTGGCTGAGGACGCCCCTGTCAGAGCTTTCCTGCAAGCCTCAACCAAGGACCTGCTGATGTTGGTCCTTCCCACCTCTACCTGTGGGAGAACAGCAGTCATTCTCTAGTTTGGGACCACACCGCTTCCCTGCCTTTTCCTATCACGCCACACCAAAACCCTGCAGTCCAGATCATCTTGCAGTTCTGCAACCAGGACTAAACAGTTGTGCTCCCTCTAGATTTTATAACTTCCTTCTGGAGGAGAAAGCTTCTTTGCCCTCAGGATAGTTCCTTCTTTGAGGAGGAACAGCCATCAATGTGCCACCCTTGGCCACTCTCTACCCTCTCTACCCTGTTTCTGATTCCTCCTTTGAGATAAGGAGTGACTAATCTAATGGATACATTTGGAAGGAGAACCGTGCACAGCCCAAGTGCTTCCTTTCCCACCTTCTCCTGGGAGTGAGTTACCCTCAGAGGTCATGCCTTCTGCTCTGCCCACAGGGAGGCCTGCCAGTGCCTGGCGGCTGTGTCTGATTTGGCAGTACAGCTTATAACAAGGTGCACTTACCTGAAGAAACACACCACATCCCCCAAACCCTGCTTTATTTTTTTAAAATATATTTTTATTGATTTCAGAGAGGAAGGGAGAGGAAGAGATAGAAACATCGATGATGAGAGAATCATTGATCGGCTGCCTTCTGCACGCCCCCTACTAGGGATCGAGCCAGAAACCTGGGCATGTGCCCTGACTGGGAATGTAACATGGACCTCCTGGTTCATAGGTCTATGCTCACCCACTGAGCCACACCAGCCGGGCTCTGCTTTAGTCCTGGCCTTACTTGTCAATCAATAACTCACACAATGAAGAGAGGTGTTATTTACTCAGCCCCTCAACCACAGCCCCTATTTTAAAGCTTTAGAAGGAATTCGCAGCAAGAGGTGACAGGACCTCCAGCCCGTTAACTTTGTGAAGCAATGAACCACGCGGGAATTAGCATTCAAAGCTCCATAATCCACTTGGAATTTCCCCAGAATCTTTCTGAGAGTCCTGATCCCTAGTCTGAAGCATACTGTGCAACAGAAGGAGGCACACAAAGAAAACAAGAAGCCAACTGGGGACAGATTTTCTGCAGCCGATTGGCATTGGCTGGAGCAGAGCACTCAGGGGGCGCGGCCTGTGTGGGAGCTGTTCCTATGGGCTTTTGTGGCCTCTCTGCACTGCTTCCACCTCATCTGCTAAAGAACGAGGACGCTGATGTGACACGGACAGGTTTTGTACAGACACACTGCTCTGGAAACTGGGACAGGCATCAGCCCCTTCAGTTATGAAAGACTTGAGCGCCATATGCTGCTCAGCGAGGCTCAATCCGCTACAACGGCACCTCACTCTGCAAAGATGTGTCCGTGAGCAACTCTGAGGTGAATATTGCAAAGGAAATACTATTTTAAATCTACAAAGAAATACTGGTATTCAAGAAATCATATGATGTCAGCCGCCTTTCATGCAAAATCAAATTTTCCTATTGTAATGTACCCCTTCATCCTGGGGTCTGACTGCAGGTGTCAATTTTGAATGCAGACAGTCACCACCTTACAAAGCAGCCCTTAGTGATTTTAAACACCTTAGTGGTTAGAAAGGCCTTCTTTATATGGAATAAAATTCTGCCTCATTTCACCCTTTCTCCATCCATCCAGGGTCGGTCCCCTGGAGCCACACACCACAGCATCTTTCAAATAGTTAAGCTGGCCACCACGCTAAGGTGTTTTCTCCAAGTCAACTATCCCAAGCACTTTAATTTGAGACACTTCTGAAGTCCCCACCACAAGCACAGCGTGCAGGGGCTATAAAAACAAGCCACCAGCTTGTCCTTCAAAATACTGTCCTTATTGTCTAATGAGAGACACAGACATGAGTACACAAATAACTGCAGCGGAAAGCAAAATGGGTTAAAGAAAAATCAAGAAGTAGAACAGAACTATAAATGAAACGCTATAGGAACAAAGACGAGAAAAGGAATTAGAAGCCACTCCTATTCTAACACCAAGCTAACACTGTCAAAAACACACTTGCATTTCTACAGCACAGGGAAACCAGCAGATGGCCACAATCCATGTGCACGGGTGCCATTGGCGCTCACCTGAGAGCTGGTAAAACATCAGAGAAGCCATGCACAGCTTAATCGATTTCCCTTTCAAACTTTCGGAATATATTAGTCTAGAATTCAGTGGTTCTCAACCTTCTGGCCCTTTTAAATACAGTTCCTCATGTTGTGACCCAACCATAAAATTATTTTCGTTGCTACTTCATAACTGTAACGTTGCTACTGTTATGAATCATAATGTAAATATCTGATATGCAGGATGGTCTTAGGCGAC